TTCACCATAAACAAAAATTAACCCAAGATTGATTAAAGATTTAAAAGTAAAACCTCAAACTATAAGAATCCTAGAACAAAACCTAGAAAACACCAATCTGGACAGTGGCCTTGGGGAAGAATTCACTACTAATTCCTCAAAAGCAATTGCAACAAAAACAAAAATTGAAAGTGTGACCTACTTAAACTAAAGAGCTTCTGCACAGCAGAAGAAACTATCAACAGAGTAAACAGGCAAACTACAGAATGGTAGAAAATATTTGCCAACTATACATCTAACACAATTCTAATATCTAGAATCTATAAGGAATTTAAACAGCAGAACAATCAAAAAACAAATAACTTCATTAAAAAGTAGGCAAAAGACATGAACAGACACTTCTCAAAAGACAGACAAGTGGCCAATAAACATGAAAAAATTCTCAACATCAGTAATCATAAGAGAAATGCAAATCAAAACCACAATGAGATACCATCACATACCAGTCAGAACGGCTATTATTAAAATGTCTAAAAACAACAAACGCTGGCAGGGCTATGGAGAAAAGGATAAACTTATACTGCTGGTGGGAATATAAATTAGTTCGGCCACTGTGGAAGCACTTCGGAGGTTTCTCAAAGAACTTAGAACTATCATTCAACTCAGAAACCCCATTATTGGGTATATACACAAAATAAATCATTCTACCAAAAATATACACACACTTGTATGTTTATCACAGAATTATTCCCAATAGCAAAGACATGGAATCAACCTACGTGCCAATCTATCAAGGGTGGATTGGCTGAAGAAAATGTGGTACATACACACCATGGAATCCAACATAGCCATAAAAAGAAAGAAAATCCTGTTCTTTGAAGCAACATGGATGCAGCTGGAGGCCATTATCCTAAGCAAATTAATGCAGGAACAGAAAACCAAATTCCTCATTTTCTCCATTATATGTGGGAGCTAGACACTAGGTACTCATGGACATAAAAATGGTCAAAAATAGACACTGAGGACTACTAGGGGAAGGAAGCAAGTGTTGAAAAACTAACTATTGGGTACTATGCTCACTTCCTGGATGACAGGATCATTCATATCCCCAACCTCAGCATGATACAATATACCCATGTAACAAATCTGTACATGTACCACCTGAATCTAAAATAAAAGTTGAAATTAAAAAAAAAAAAGACTGAATCCATGACCTAAGTGTCAATGAGACATAGCACTGGGTTAAGAGCACAAGCCATTCCTGGGGTTTGAATCCCAGCTCTTCCATTACACATCTCTGAGAAAGTTACTTAACTTCCCTAGGGTTTGATTCTTTCACTTTAAAATGGGGGAAACAATGGTGCCTACCTCACTGGGTTGCTGTGAAAATTGCATTGAATGAGCTAATTATTATGAGGCTTAACACAATACCCAGCACTCAGTAATCCTCACAATCCTTCAAGGAACATCCAATGATCCCCATTTTCCAGGTGGGGAAATGCGCTTAGAGAAGAAATATTTGCTAACAGTCCCACAGGGAACCAATGGACTTTCTAAAGTGACAGCCATATTCCTTCCTTTTCCTTTCCCTCCTTCTCCTAGGAGGTCAAACTATACAGAGTGTAAATGCTGTTTCACTTTTTTCCTACAACTCAATCTGTCCCATGACTTTCTCTCAAATATTCCCGTTTCATAACTCCCCATGATGTTCAAGTCTCTCCTTCTACTATAAGAACATTTTTTTGTTTTGTTGCTGGATTTTGTTCTCATCAATTCTTTTATGCCAAGGACACTCAGGACTATCCCACACTAAGCAGTGGTGTTAGAGAAACCCCCTTGACTATTTGGATGTCAGTTTGCCATTCTTTGGAAACTATTCTCCCACCACCACCTTTTCCTCAGTTTCTATCTTTCCATATTTTTTCAGCCTCCAGGTACTCCTTCCCAAATCTAAACAAGGTCCCCAAGGAAGATCAAAACATTTTTGAGGTCAGGAACTATTCCAACTCACACTATCTAGACTACAGACAATCAACGAAAGCTGCTATTTGACTCAAAGAAAGGATAGAATAACTATTTTCAAATATTTGAGGAGCTGTCACATGAGAGACACTTATTTAGTCTCTTTTGCAAGGGCAAAAGCAAACAATGCATGCTGATAATGGGGAAACAGACCTCAGGCCAAAAGGAGAAGGAGATTGCTTACCAATGGGGCTGTTTGATAAGGGAGTTGGTTTCCTTGAGCTCATGAGCACCGCACCACATCATTGGGAACATCTGCACTGAATGCCATCTGCAGGCTTATTCTGAAGGAAGTTCCTACATCAAGTTTAAAGTATGTACATGGTCTCCTGTGCAAAAGCAGGAGAATCACCTGGAACAATTTTAAAGGGGTTACAGCAGGTAACTGAGGCAGATTTAGAAGAGTAACGTAGATGGGGAAGGGCGTGTTAGGTCGTAAGATGAGATTGGAGCTAAGGAGGCTGCCAAAGACAGATCACTTGCCTTACAATCCTGTGTCAGTCATCAAGATACTCAGAGGAGCATAGTTCCTCTTTGAGCCACTCCAGATAAGGATGTGGAGAAGGTACTCTGTTCATCTACTTTCTCATTTTGTGGTGATACCTCCCCAGCTCTGGCTGATTTATGATGATATTTTAGAGAAGGTCCCAGGCCACTTACCAGAGGATCAGAGAAAAAGCCCATGGTAACGGGAGTTGATAAGAATGTGTATCCAGTCTACAATAGTCGTTAGGGGCCTGGGCCTGATATCCTGTATTTTAGCCTATTGGGTGGATGAATTAAGGAACAACACTACAGTGTGGGGAACAGGAGGAAGAACTGTGGGGTGAAGATGAAGGGGAGATAAAGGGTGGAGTGCAGTCTGGACTTGACAGACACACATACTTCATTAGCACTCCTACTCAGAATGAGCTGATGACCATGACTGTTACACAAAATATCAAGTGAAAGAATTGCAAAATGGGTATGAATTTGTTCTACAGAACTGAGATGTAAGAAATATCAAATTATTTTAGCTTTTCTTATCAAATTAGACTGGCTCTGAACCTCCAGTCTCTCCATCCCATCTCCTAGGAGCTTATAAAAATTTCAGGTTTTACCTAGTCCCAAGAAACAGAGAAGTGCTTGGTCCTTCGTGCTGATACAGTTGGGATATTTGTCCCTGAGAAAATCCAATGTTGAAATGTGATCCTCAGTGTTGGAGGAGGGGCCTGGTGGGAGGTGTTTGGATCATGGAGGTGGGCCTTTCATGAACGGCTTAGGCCATCCCCTTGGTGATAAATTCAGAGGAAATCTGGTTGTTCAAAGTGTGTGGCATCTTCCCCACTCACTCTTCCTTACTCCTGCTTTCCCCATGTAATGTGACTGCTCCCCATTCACCTCCGCCATGACTGGAAGCTTCCTGAGGCCTCCCCAGAAGCAGATGCTGGCATGCTTACTGTACAGCCTGCAGAACAATGGGCCAATTAAATCTCTTTTCTTATAAATTGCCCAGTCTCGGGTATTTCTTTACAGAAGTGCAAGAACGGCCTAGTAGAGTCCCTAATGTGTCATTATTTTCAGGGCCCCTGTGTTGCCACTGTTGACATCTGGCTTTCCATGTCAGAACACAGTCACCCTTCCTACTCTGCTAGTGAGAGGATAAGCTACTGGGGACAGAAGCAGATATGGTTTGGCTCTGTGTCCCCACCCAAATCTCATGTTGGATTGTGATTTCCAATGTTGGGGGAGGGACCTGGTGAGAGGTGACTGGATGGTGGGGGCAGATTTCCTCCATGCTGTTCTCATGATAGTGAGTTCTCAAATCTGATGGTTTAAAAGTGGGCACTTCCCCCCTCACTTGGTCTCTTTCTCCTGCCACCATGTGAAGAAGTGGTTGTTTCCCCTTTGCCTTCTGCCATGTTTGTAAGTTTCCTGAGAAACTTACAGTGATACATCCTGTACAGCCTGTGGGACTGTGAGTCAATTAAACTTCTTTTCTTTATAAATCATCCAGTCTCAGGTAGTTCTTTACAGAAGCCTGAGAAAGGACTAATAAAGAAGTCATTGCTTGGAAGGCCTTGGGACTTACTGATCACACCCCAGACATCCAGATGTCCCACCACCTGCCACCCTTAGGGTACTAAAGATGGGGTTTGGGGGGCAAGTGGAATTAGGATCTCTGCTGTTTAGTATAATGTACTACCCTTTATCCCTCAGGTTTGAGAAATCCAGATCTTTTCAGCAGTCAATCACTGAGGCTTCTCTTTAACACCCAGAATCCTTCTTGTCTCTAAACACGCATCTCTATCTAGCCTCCCTAAGCCAAAATTTTCAAAACAAAGACCTGTTTAATCTCCCTGGAACAAGTGAAATGCAGCCCTCTGGGGTATAAACCTGTGGTTGCTCTTCTTGTAAAAACAGCTTATATTTATTCATCTTTTTCTATGAGCCAGGCATATGGCAGTGTTTTGCAACAAATATCTCATGTGATCATTACAGAAGCCATCTCTGGTAGGAAAGATTACTATTCCCATCTGATAGCTAAGCCCAGACTGAACCCCAGAGCCCAGACTAAAAATCACCACACTGCACTGCATTGTTCTATAAAATAAAAGAATCAATCAATTAGTAACTTTCTCATTCGTTTTTGTGAGGATGCTACAGCAGAATATAAGACACAAGTAAACTGATTAACTTGACAGAATGATACCAATTAAATCCAAGGAATGCCATAGACTTGGTTCTAAGAAGGAAGTGGTGCTCTCTCAACACTGGGCAAGTCCCGTGAGGTCCTGGGGAGCTGGTCCAGACATTATTTATCCTCTCTGTGGGCTTCTCAGGGAACACATCTGCCCAGGCAAAGTACAGCAGCACCCTCATTGTCTTGGCATTGTGAATGGTCTGTGAAGAGACCCTCTGAAACATTTCCCTGAGACAGTACCCAGTCTGTTCCTGCCTTTCCAGGCTCTGCTTTCCCTTCACCTGCAAAAAGAGCTCATGGTGTTCACTTTTTTTCCAAAAAAAAAAAAAAAAATTCCTCATCCCCTAGTAACTATTAAAACTATTATTCCCTTCAAGCATCTTTAAAAAGTAGTTGCCATGAACTATCTTTATTTTTTCATCAGTTTTCAACTTCCTGCAATCCAATATTTACCAGATTTCATAATTTAATATCTCTGAAATTAGAAATAAATCTTACATCCAATGGCATCTTTGCAAATCTAAGCGGCAATATTCTTCTGGTTTTCAAGTGGTACATAAATTAATGGTGCATCATTTACAAAGTGGCATTTTAGATTCCATGAACCATGGTATGCATAATCCATCATTGAAAGTTACTGGATTAGGACCTCTCCGAAGACAAGTCAAAGAAACTGTTTCTTATTTATCTTGTACTGTGGCCTCTCCACACTCAGTGTTCTATTAAGTGATTGATTTACTTATTAATTTTAAATTTCATCCAGTAGAACTAAATTTGTTAGCCCATTTCATCTGAGATGTCTAACAGATGTAAGCTATGTGTGAGCCATACATGAGAATGTTGAGGAAGAAATGGAACCATAAAGCAAAGTCCTGTCTATCAATCAAAAAGATAATTATAGCAATCTTGTCTACTCCTAAAAATTTAAGCCAAACTTATGAACCACAACTATTTAATTTGTAAAATATATATTTTTAAAAATATTTGAATAAAAAATGTCAGTCTTCATTGTGACAAAAAAACTATTGACAATACCTAAAGATATTTTGTCAATAATATTATGCAGTTAGAAATTATTCCTGTTGTTCAAAACACATCATCTTGTAGCTTCAGAAAACTATTAGTTACCACAGCAAAATAATACCAGGAAAATATTTTGACTTGCCCTATAATATTTTGTGGGTTATTTGGGTTAAAAAAAAATCTTATTGTTTTTATCTAGTTTAGACCAAATAGGTACCTTGTAAAGAAAAATAGGTACAGTTTCAAATGTGACTTATCTTGTGGTCTAAACAGGTCAGAGAGCCAGCTGCCATTAGGAATGGTCATTGATGGCCCATGTTCATTCTTAATGTCCCTGTCAAACAGATTGTTAAATAAGCTTAATATCTCCCCCCAGTCACTAATCATAATCCCAACTTAATTTATTCTGTTTCAATGTTCATTTAATGAAAGTGAAATCATCTCAAGAAATTCAGTAACAGGAATTTTATTCAAAACCTTTTCTGAGGATGTTTTGGGGTCAGTATAATTTCTGTCCAATCTTTGTGCATTATCTCATACTTATATACCTCTACAGTACAATGAAGTGAGCAGAGACAGGAAGGGAATGAGAAGGAATACTATCAACTGTTAAAAAGGCCTTCTAATCATTACTCACATTTACCTAGAAGAAGGCAAAGAGTATAGAAACATTTATGACAAGGGGTGAAACAACTAGATTTCTTTTTGATCATTACTTTATTTCCCATCTCTCCACACATCCTGCTCCAGTAAGAATTTTCTGTGTAAGTCGAGGGCTGCAGTTTATTAAAAATTTGAACTTGCCCCTTATAAGCCTTATGGGAATCTGAATTGAGATAGCCAGAGATTTCTGGCTAACTAATCATTATCATTTCTTGAAATTTGGATGTTATGTACGCAGCTCCAAGCTGATCTGCATTCTGCACCAGTTACAGGAATAGACCGGCCAGGAAGTTTTGAAATTCAAGGACAGATAGGGTTAAGTCCTAGCCCCAAACTACAGATTAGCCCAGCAAGGCTCTCCAAATCTTTTGCAATAAGCATTTGGTAATGCGTGGGCCATTTATTTCCAGCTTCCAGGCAGTTCAGCTGAAGGCTTAGGTTAGAGAATTGCAAAAGCTTATGATTCCTCACCAAGGAATGAGATGTGACGCAGTAGAGCAAACTGCAGACATTTAATACCAGATGTTAATGTAAAAATTGGAAAAATTTTGACCCCCACATGGTTATCTGACCCATGGCCTGCAAAATCCCATCACAAAGTCTGTAAGTCATCATTATTCCTGGATTCTTCCACTCTTAACTTTGTGCCTACTCTTTGTAATATAAAATAATAATTCTGAGTCATATAACTGAGATAATTAGATCATATCAATCTTGAGGCATTTCATGCACACACTAACAGAGTAATCCAATTTCTTACCATAAAAATCAGAAGTACAGCTTTTCTGATTAGATTTCCTAGTGACTGTTCAGAAATTATTTGAGATATTTTTATTTCCATTGTCTGCCTTCCACACCTGCCTAACGTCACTAAACGCTGAAGGAAAGAAAGGAAGGGAAGAGATTTTTCTTATTTGCACTGAAAGTTAAAAGAACATCTGAAACACATATTTCTGAACAGTTTTACAGTTGTTTGCACTTCTTCCCTAAATCTGCACACTTTAAATCTGCACCAACACAATACAGTTTCCACAAACTACAAAGTGCTCTATAACTGCAAAGAAAATTGTTTAAGCTCTGTTGCTTAAACGTGGATCCCAAGAGAAAAGAGGCTCAAAGAATCTCCTCTAAGCCCAGATTTAAGGCAGGGAGGACTTTTAAATGATCCTCTTCTTAACTGGACATGAGTATCTTATTTTCACATCTGTATACTTTTTTGATGCTCAAAATGATGACAGAGGAAAGAAGGATGTAAAGACTTCATGAATCTTTAGCAAGAAACTAAGCATTCAACTGACCCAGGTAAAATGCCACCACAGGGTTTAGCACCTCTGTGGTGAGCTGAGAGAAAAACCAGAGACACCAGTGCATCAGAGGCTACTCTAGAGAAATACCAACCAGTACAGGAGCCTGAAGAGCCAGGCCCTGCCCTCAAAAGAACATCCAATTCAGTTTCTTCTATCTGTCTCTCTCTCTCCCCCCATCTATCAATCGATCAACCTCTCTCTCTCTAACAAAGACAACTGCAAATACAAACAGACAAAACTGGCAAGAACAGCTCACAAATTGTGCAAATGAGAAAAGGTCTTTAAGACCATCCTGTCCCAATTTCTCTATCAATGGACGAAGACACCAAGGCCTGGAGAAGTCAGGTGGCAGCTCAAACAAATCAGTACCATCACTGTGACAGGAAGCCGGAGCTCCTGGCCCCCATTCTGGTAAGATTTACTTGTTCTCACACAAGATGTGAAGGAAATTTTACTATTCAAGGGTTGAATATAATCCATATTTTTCTTTGAGGGATTAAATTTATTTCTCAGAGTCACATTATATCAAAAAACATATAACTGGAAACTCTTTTCTCCCTTCCTCTATCCTTTACTCCATTACTTTTTTCTCTCTCTTGCTTTATCTGTCTTACTTTCTTCCTCTGTCTCTCTCTTTCTTTCCTCCATAGGTATACACATTTGGAGGCAGAGGAGAGAGCCAAAGATAGCAGAACTAAATCAGGGAAACACAATTTGCAATTGCCTGTAATAGCTCAAAACTTGGGCTGAGATTTTAAAAACCCAAAATTATCAGTTTAAATCTCGAATCTAGAAAAAAAGTTTTTCTTTACAAATAATTTGATAACATTTATGTAAAATTAAAATTTTATTATTCCCCAGTGCCCTCGCCATCACTACTCATCCCTCAGACTTTTCATCTTCATGTTCAAAATAATCCCTGGCACTTGTAATTGAATGACCTTGTAATGGGTGTGTGGGTTTATTTGGATCTGATGGAGCCAAAGTAAGCTAATAATGTGTTTCTCTCACAATTATCCGCATTATTTGTTTATAAACAGCCTTCTTTAATTTAAACTGGATTTGCAAAATTAGACCATTTCTAATCCTTCCTATCCCTTACACATAGGTCCAGTTGTTTCATTTTATTCTAGACTCAGATTCTAAGAATGAGTACATTTTCCCCAGCATGTAAAGGAGAGGAAAAAAAATCAGTGGACTAATGTAACAAAAATCTCCCCAATGAATTTCCCATGAAGAAGAGATAAAACATCAAATACCAACAGTGCCAAAACATTTACTGAAAGTTTTCAAATATTGCAAAAATATTACAAAAAGTGAGCAAACATGGTGAAACTAATGACAAATTAGACACTAAAAACATCTGTTTAAGTGTAGGCAGGCATGTAGGGGAAAGGGAATGTCCATAGGCAGTTACTATGGTAAAGGACTGCATTTGACTCTCTTACACATATGCCATTTTGATCCCATTTAGAAAAAATTATCGCAGACTTGGAAATTTAGGTTTTAAAAAATTGTGACCTATAAATATCACATTACCTCCTTACCCATCAAGTGTCACCTAACTCTCTTAGGAAATGTAACTTTATCTGTCCAACAATTTAGTAGGGACCAGATTAAGGACTCTAGAGTTAAAAGTTGATTTGCATTAAACCATTAAGACATGATGCTTTATTTTTGCTTTCTGGTAGAGAAATGTATCTTCTAGGTTATCATTTTATTTCCCTGTAGGATACTAACCAGTTTTATATCCTACTGGCAATTTCATTTCATCAAAGCCTTCCCCACTGATGAAATTCAAGTTTTTTCATATTCTCTTCCAACTGCTCTGTTATACTGATGTTAACTGGAACTTAATTCACCTGTTTATGAAAGAATTACATTTTTAATAATTTCATAATTTGTGCTTTGACAATCATCAAACAACCATGTGAGGTAGGTAGTATGTCCTCATTTTACAGAGAAAGAAACTGAGTCTCAGAGAAGGCACATTATTGCCCAAGTTTATAGAGGGAAGAAGTGACAGAGCTGAGGTTTTCACACAAATATGCCTGAATCAAATTTTCATATGTGGACTGAAAATTTGAGCTGAAACATCTCCAAAAATATCAACCTTACCTACATACGTCTATTACATGTTTGAATTAAAAACACAACAGCTGAGTATCAAAAGCAACTAACTTTAAATGATCCAAATCTGAGTTTTTAAATACTAATTAAAATAATTATTTATTAATTTGTTTGGCTTCAATTCTGAAACTTTAAAAATTAGAAATGTTGAAAATATTTGCCCATAGACTATATGGAATATTATCATTAATGTGTGAAATTACAGTGTTTTGCTGATTCTGTTAATGGTTTGGATGATGCTCAGCAAATTACTACTGAGGTTGTTAGAAAAGCCACTGAAAAGTATTTAGAATACTTAGTGGTGAGCCTCTCTGATATTTCATGAGCATATCCCTACGTGACACAGTCTGAGAGCTTTTTGAATAAATTTGATCAAATTACCAGCCTATCCTGCTGCAAAGATGTTCATTCTTCTTTGTCCCTAGACTGGTAGAAAAAAGAGAAACACAAACATAACAAACACAAAAATAACTTTGTTATCTTCAGGGATGAAAGCCATTTGTTGTTCTGGCTGAACAGACTGGTAGATATCCAGACCAAAGAGTGACATGCAACCCAGTCTGAAAGCACCATAGTACCTTTAAATCTTAAAAGTATGGGAAAGGCAGATCTTACATATACATGTTTATCTGTCAATAGGCATGCTTTTCAGCTTGGATATATATCTTTAAAATGCACCCTTTTACCCACCTGAGGATCCACTCAATGTATATGCAGCTTTGCAAGGTTTTCTCCATAAGTAAGATTCTAAAGTTTAGGACAACTGGTATCTAGGTTGATTTTTTAAAAACATCTGTACTTGTAACAGTGGGTGTTTTGTCCACCAAATCACAAACTAGACAGTGACCACTGGCCTGGTTTTCCATTGCGTACGCTGCTGTTTGATGGGCACTGGCAGCTGTCTGCGGCAGATTAAAGTTAAGTGAGGCAATCTGCCTGCCCCACCTCTAGCCTCAAATCCCAAACTCTGGAGCCAGTGGAATTTCAGCTCCACCTGAAGTTAAAAGATAACTATGTGGTTTAAATTCATCTTGACTCACAGCTTCACTGTTTTATCCTGGCTAATGCTGCTCACTGTGTCTGTGGTTTTCTTACATAAATTTTCAATCCAGCTAGTGCTGTTATAATGTGTCTTTTCCAGCCCTGATGTTGGGGGTGGAATTTTAGCTCGCATATTTTTTCCAGATGTGATAAGCTCTCCATAGCCCTCTTGGTGAGCAAAAGCATATCCAGACCTTCTTGAGCTTGACCGGCGGGTCCGAGTCCTTCGGCTTCTTAGAGGCTTTGCCTTCTTTTGAGCCTTCTGCCACTGGCGGATCTGGAGAGAAACAGACCCAAAGTGAGATGATGCATCCAAATGACAGACTCCAGGCCCTGGACCACTTTGTAAAGTGAAAGCCTTTTATTTTTTAGTAAAAACAACAATGCAAAAGGAAGTTTTAAACCTAAAAACTAAGAAATTTTCCACCCAAAAGATGACACTTGACACTGGTCCATTTTTATTTCTATCAAGAAACTTCAGTAATTAAGAAATATCAGGCAAATTTCATTATTGTCTCTCATATATCTTCAATGTATAAGAGATGCTTTTGTATAGAAAGATTTTCTCACATTTACCACCCAAAGTCAGCATAATAATTTATAACTTCATTCTCCAAAAACCAGCCTTTTTCCTCTCTTTAGAGGTTCTCTGTATTGAACAGTAGTCAATAACTGGACTAGAAGAAAATTTAGAAAACGAGTCAGAAATATTCAACTCTTGTGGTAGGTCAAAGTATCATCAGATTTCCAGGGTTTTGATTTATTTTAGGTTTGTATGGCCTTTCTAAATGTTCCAGATTATTGTAGGTTTCCAACAACTCTTTCATTTTCCTGTAAAGTTAAGGAAAAAAAGACCTAAGGTTTGTTGTAAGCGACGCTGTTCTCTGGTTTGGCAAATCACTTGGATTCTGACTTTTGTGTCAGGAGAAAGCCAACAAGCAGAACATCATAATCGGACTTATAGGAAAAACGAGCACACCCTTTCTTCCTTTACTCATCCACCATTTTCTGGGTTTATATCAGAATGAGCTTGGAGATGCAAATAGAGAGGACACATATGACAAGGGACTCTGAATTTTTCCAGAAGAAATATTTTTACACTTTGGTCCCAATATGTCAGAGACATCATGATTAAAAATATATATATATCTACTTCAGTCTCTCTCAGCATCACTGGCCTGGGTCCCAATATGTCAGAGACATCATGATTAAAAATATATATATATCTACTTCAGTCTCTCTCAGCATCACTGGCCTGGTCCCCGTCACCACAGCAGCTTGCTCCCTCTTTTTATTAGATGGCTAGGAATGTTTATCTCCCTTTCTTTCTCCTTCTCACATTAGGTCAGGTTAGTGCTGACCTAACTTGGCATTGTCTTACTTAGATCACATTAGGTCAACCTAACCTAGTCCTGATCGTTAGCCCCGACGAAACTTGACATTGTCTACTTATACTCCTCTTCCCATGAAATTCTGAAATATATATATATTCTGTTAATTTTCCAATTAAGGAATTTCTATAACCTGTTCTTCCTGTTTTCCTTCCAAGTTATATTTCTAATCTACCCATCGTGTTGCTCTTCCCCTTCTTAATCTGTTCGGAAGGTAACATCTCACTCATGTTTCTGAATCTGCTACTAGATTTCTACAAAAATGTTAAGCCCCTTTGACTCGTGTCATGCTTGTCACCTTTTTATTGTTTCTGTACTTACCCTAAAATCAATCTTTTCCTACAACATGCCTTTCCCTTGGAAAAATTATCCAAAATGATGCCTGTGAGCTTCTTTTTAAAAGTCAGCTTTTAAAAATACTCAGTTTAACTTTTAATTTGTGACTCCCCATCACATTTAGTATTAATGCTTCTCTCTTCATTGGCACTAAGGACTAGTACATTCAATATGTGGGCAGTCCCATCTATCCTGATGTGATCTCATGTACCAGTAGGTGTCTGCTTGTGACAATTTCATTAGCCCATCTCTGAGCTTCCAATCAGGCAGAAAAGGACACCATTTCAAGAGCCAAAAACCAGACTTCAAGAATTCATCAGCACTGTGAGATACCTGATCACTCAGGGTTGGGTATAAATCCACCTTCAAAAATCTGAATGCCACCACTGGCATAACTGAAGCCACTGTTGTTAAGAGAATTACAAGCCAGATGCACTTCTGGGTCAGGGAATGTCGTGCATTACCTGTCATTAAAGAAAATATACACTGTGGTTATAAGTAGGACTGAATTATTAATAAATAGGTTCTTTGTTCCTATAAAGTCTTTTTTGAAATGGTGAGATTTGGATCACCTAATGTCACCACGATGATAAGAAGACAGAAATGCTAAGATCACCCTCAGGAACTGCTTAGTGGCCTTACCACTTCAAGATTACCAGCCTGAGCCAAGCATTCTCTCACCCAGGCTCAGTCCAGTATTACTCATGGAGCACAATTCTCTCTTCCAGCATCAAGCTCCCGTGCTTACAAGGCAGTCATTATTTTTAAAAGGCACATGTGCCCTTTACCTTTATGGACTCTTAAATTAAAACTATCATATCAAAACTACACAAAAAACATTCCACATGTAGGTACGATCTCAAATAATGATTGCACTGATTGGCTATGTCATAAAAGGGAAGCTTTATCTACTACAGAAGCAGCCTTATAAATTCCAGGCAATGGCTTCAGAAAACCTGCCTCAGAGGGACTTCTTATCTGTTTAATGTCATTTGGTTATGAGGTACTCGAAGTTCCAGAATCAGGAAGGCTCCTGGGTTTGTGAAAACAGCATCCCCTCACCAGGAGACTGTTGATGTATCCATCCAACATGCTAGGGCAATGGGACAGTGAAACTCATTTCCAAGCCTGCAGCCAGTTTCCTTACTTTTTACTCACACCTCACATACCCCAATGTGAGTTTGAACAAGGCAATAAGGGTCAGTAAGGCAGGCAGACAAGCTTCGTGGGAAGATGCCAACCCTGCTTATATCACCAAAATAAACTTTTGTCCCTCTTCATTTTCTAGAGATTTAGCATCATACCTCCAATTATCCAGGTCCCCTATCCCAGTGTTGAAATGTTACCACCATTCAAATAGGCTTTGGGTATGAGGGCTTGGCTACTGAATTGTATGTCTGCTTTTTCTGGCTTTGAAGAGTAGAATCTGCCTACCCAAGGGCAGCTGATTCCAGCTGCCTTCAGCCATGGGCAGAAACAAACTTGACTCAATAAATTAAATGTCTCTTTGAGCTCCTTGAAGTTTGGTACCCTCCGGCATGGCTGGGAAAACAAGCTTCACTTTGAAACCACACTCCTATTTGCTGCTAGCTAGTAAGGAAAAAGAAATTCTTTTCTGAAACCCCAATGTTGATCTAACTTTTAAAAAATTTCATTGGAGCTCAGTAATTAATTAATGAAATGGCATGTGCTTAGCTGGAAAGAGTCGTCCCCACACAAATTACTTTCTCCAGTCAAGGCATTCTAATCTCATTATGCATTACAGTGCTCTCTTAGGACTTGAAATGTTCTAGTCAATGCACTGAACTTTTCAATTTGGCAAACGATCTTAAAAAAATAAAACAAAAATAGTTTTAGTGTCTTTCTTTCCTAATATGCTTATTCTTACTCATATCCAACATGTCTCTACATAGTTGGAATCTTTTGGTAAACAAAGTATTACCAGTACATATTAAGTAAGAGTGGTGCAACTTAAAGATTTCCATTTACATGTAGGAAAAGGCAGAAGTTGAGGAACATTTTTAAGGCATGTGTGAATTTAAATGGAATTAAATACAATTTCAGGTGCCTTTGCATCAATGTAAATTTGTAACCTTATAATCTTATAATTCTATTTTGGTCCTTGTGGTCTTATTTTGCTTTCTACATGAATCATTCTAAGAATTTACTTCCTCAATTAGTGGATACAAATCTCACTCTTGCCTGATTAAGTTCAAGAATGTGTTGGTCACTACACATCTCTCTTTTCCAGTTTGTTTAGATGAACTCGGAAACTTCACTCTTAGCAGCTTATTTCACACACACTAGAGATTTCAAAACCTCTGAGAAAGTATATTAATAGCCTTCTTTTATAAAGCTCAGTGGCCTTTGCTGGGAATCATTTTGAAATGTGGAGTGCAATGATAGTATACTCTATACACAGACCAGAAGTATGCTCTTTGTAGAATAATAGAATCTCAAGGTTCTAAGAGATTTTAGGGAGTCCTTTGCTGCTCATCTGATGTTCAAATTCCTCTGCAATGTTCCCAACCAGGAATCAAGCCTCATTTTCATGAATAATAATAATCACCATCACCACAATTAACATTTATTTAAAAAGTACTATGTGCCAAGGTACATACTAAATGATTTATATGTATTGTTTCCTTTAATCCTCATAAATTTTCTATGAAAATAAGGCTTAATAAGAGCCTCAGTTTATAAGTGAAGACATTAATGTGTAGTATAATACTGTGAGCTGTATGTTTGGTCTTTCTCTCTGTTTTCTGGCAAACACTTAAAAAACTCCTTGAAATCCTTAAAGTGGTAAGTGTGTTTTTGTATGTTAATGAGTTGACTGTTGGCTGGAAGACCCTAAACGCCTTCAGGATGAGGGCTGACCATCAGAAAGACTAAGGCAGGATTAGAGGATTGGGACTTTCAGCCCAGCCTCTAATCTCCTGGAAGGGGAGAGAGACTAAAGGTTAAGTTGATCACCAATGGCCAATGACTTTATCAATCTTGCTTATATAATAATGCCCCCATAAGAGCCTTAAAGAACAGGGTTCAAAGAGTTCCCTGATAGCTGAACATGTAGAGGTTCCTGGAGGGTGGGAGGACTGCAAAGGGCGTAGAAGCTCTGCACCTCTTCCCCCACACTAGCTCTATGCTTCTCTTTATCTGTATCCTTTGTAATATTCTTTATAATAAACCAGTAAATGTGTCTCCCTGAGTTCTGTGAGCCACTCTAGAAATTAATCAAACCCAAGGAGGGGGTTGTGGGAACCCCAATTTGTAGTCAGCTGGTCAGAAGTAGAGGTAAAACATCCTGTGGCTTGCCAGTGGCATTAGAAATGTGTGGGCAGTTGTGAGGAACCTAGCCCTCAACCTGTGGGATCTGACACTATCTCCAAGTAGATATTCTTGGAATTGAATTGGAGAACATCAAGCTAGGGTCCTCTACAGAAACACTTCATTGGTTATTGGTGGGAAGAAATCCCCACTTCTTGGTGATCAGAGGTCACAGAAGTCTTCTGTGTTGATGGCTGACAGAGTATAGGAGAAAGGATTTTGTTTATTTCTATATATTCTTACGTGGAAAGAAGAAACTACCTCAAAGTTACAAAGCTTGCTAGGTGGTGGAGCTGGTGCTTGAACCCTGAATGTCTAACTACAAAGCCTATTCCTCAGGCCACTTATGGATTAATGTCCCGGAATTTTCAGAAGGCTCTAAATTATACACAGTTTCATTCTTATCTAAATGCAAATAAGTTCTATGGGTGAATTTTGGCAGACGTTGGTGATAATGTGGCATAAAGGGGAGTCTAGTATTTCTTTTTCTTCTCTCTACCATATATGAACATTTGATAGGTCTTCAGGTTGCCCTAATGTATGTGCCATGCCTCTCATTTGCAAAGAGACAGCCTACTACATGTAAACTGTAAAGAACCTGTAAGCTACTATCAGTGATTCTTCTGCATCTAGTAGAGACAACAGAAACTGAGTGAGCTTTTAGAGCAACTTTTAAGCCCAGAAGCCTTCAGATGCCTGGCTGAATCAATTTCTGGACAAATGATCACTAATCATCCCCAGCTCTACCCAACACAAAAAATAAATCATAAGACAAGTAAACAGCAACATGACACTAGGCCCTACTAATCAACATGACTCACTTACCTACAAATGGAAACTGGTTTGGGAAGATGCCAAAGATGCCATTACTGTGCATTGCAAATAAAATGGAGAAATAAATGGCAATGCTCCCCCAGATGAAGACGTGATTAATGAAAGTCCAGTAACTGGTATCCAAGGCTATCTGTAAATAAAATCAAATGCAAATGGGAGGTCTTTGAGGATTAAAAGAGCATCATTTTAACTAGTGATGTTTCCCCGAACTGCCCTGTGGCAGGAAGGTTGCACCTGCCTAGTTCTCAAGCCAACCACTGGCATGCCCACTTTCTGAACACACCCAGGGGACTGATCTGACTTTATATTTCTGGTAGAAAATTGACTTTAGAACTTCTATATGCAAGCCATTATATCTGCCAAGGTTGAGTCAGAATCAGGAGGTAAGATGTAAAACACATTAAACTTCTTTTAAGTGAGAAATATGAAAGCACAATGGTTTAGAATTTTTAAGTTACTTTCCAAATGTCTGTCAAAACTTTCCTATTGGAAAAAAATTCTTTCTGTATGGACAAATGCAATATTTCATACTCTGCAAGTAAATTTTCACAGTATGATTTTTACACATGCATCTTTTTTACACCAATATCCCAGCTCATTTTGATGATCCTTTCTCTTCAATTACTCAATTGATAACAAAGAAAATTCCTCAGCCTTATTTTGACATAAAATTCAGAAACTGGGATTTACAATGGCCTGGGACCATGGTCACCAGCTCTTCTTCCTCCTAGTAACTTGTTGTGGCAGCTCAGCTAGAAGAATGGTGTACTACTGGGGAATCAAGGACGCCACTGGTAAATATGAACACTTGAATTCTTCAGAGAATAAAAAAGTACTTTTTTTTTTATTTTCTGGTATCATTATTTGCATCTCATAGGTCCCAAGTGATCCAGGTCCAAATGAAGGTTTGTATTTCTAGTAGTCTTTTGCAAGACCAAAGGTTTCTCATCTGCCTGAAGGGGGCCTATCTGCATAGTAAACAGATCCCTCTCAACAGGAGACATACTTCCTCTTCCCACCTGTAGTTTACTGTCCCTTAAAATGTGTCCCCATTAAAATGATGCTGGCAGCCTTTGATGTGAACTATAGTGTTGTACTGGACCGAGCATAGAAATTAACACCAAGACAAAAGTATGCCAGATTGCAGGGTCATTTATTATGCCGGCAACCACAGAGGACTCACGTCTCTCCAACCTGTGGCGTCGAAAGGAGGGTGCCAAGACTTTTTATACCCGAAAAACCACCTTGGGAGTGGGGGTGAGGAGCGGGGATGGGGATGAAAAGGCTTCAGACATTCTGAGGGCTAGTGGATTCTGTAAATCATCTCCTGGGCAGAGACGAGGGCTCCGGATATTCTAAGGGCTAGGTGACTCTTGTCATTCCGTTTGTTACTTAAGTGTTTTACAGAAGTCAAGATAAACATTTGTTTACACATTATCTGGGTAAGGTGGAAATCACAGGCCTTAGTTACTTATTACAAGTCGCAGGGGCCAGGATGGCATTAGTTTGGGCTGCTTAGTCTGGCAATTGCCGGTAAGCAAAGGCTAGCAATTCTGGCAGTTACTGATAAGAAAACGTAAGCAGCTTTACATAGTGGCTAGTTTGCAGAGCAAACTAGCAGTTTTATTTACAGTAGCCAAGGCTAGCAGTTATTGTGAGGAGAATGGGGCAGCTGTTACAACTTATTTTAAAAAGCAGCTTTTTCTTTTATAAAATGATGTTGTTCAGGCTCTAACTCTAGGCCAGCTACAGCACAATATCACAAAAGAATTTATAAAAGTACAGCCTTTCCTCTCCTCAGGAGGTCTGAAAACAGCCCTGCCATCCATGACTCAGCAAACACATGCCAGCTTTCCAGTTCAGTTAGCTGCCAAGACATTTCACCAAAATCTCCAACTCTACCTTCCACCACCTGTTAGTTTAACACTCTCAAGAGAAAATGATAGACTGATCTGTATGGGTAAGAGTAGGCAAAGAAAAATTACAACCCCTTTAAAAGGATTCAGCTGAAAGAGTGAGAATAGGTGGCTCCTACTGAAGCAGAAGTAATAGAAGAGACAGACAAGCACTACAACAACAACAAAATATCATATGACCCCTTAAGAAGATGCAATTAGGTCACAGAAAAAAATCTGAAAGAAAATCACACTATTTCTGAATTTAAAAATTCAACAGCAAAACCAAAGAATAGTCACTGAATAGAACTAAATTAATATTCTGGACAAAACAAATACAAATGTTATCTCACAACAGAGAAGAAAAACTTAAGAGAAATGGAAACCATTTGCAAAAAGATGAGACATGAACAGCAAATTTCACAGATCTCAGATCTGTGACCTGAATATACAAATAATGGCATTTTAGAAAGCTAAAAAGGAATAAATAGAAAAGTAACAATGAAAGAAATGACAAAAGAAAACTGCTCAGTGGTAACAAATAGCATAGATTTTCAGATTGAGAGGGTCCTTTAGGTCCTATCCAAAGTAATGAAACAAGATTCTGGTGACATAACCTTTTATACAGAGAAGGAAAGAGAATCAACATAACATCAAACTATCACAGTAAAACTGTGAAACACCACAAAATTGTTGAAATATAACTATATAGTGAAGCAACAACAAAGTTCCTAAAGAAAAAGGCTCTGACTCAAGGATCTTATGCTTATCCAATATAGCATGTAAATGTAAAGGCAAAAAAAAAGCATTGAGCTTAAAAGTATAACATCTCAATATCCTTTCAGAAAAAATTACTCAAGGACATTTCTGCAATGAAATAAAAATTTAAACAGTACAAAGGCCTCAAAATGGCAGGAGACAGGGCATAAAAATGTTGGTAAGCAATGGTTTTTGTAAATGTATAGTTAGTTCTAGATGAGTTATAATGTATGAGAGGCAGTATCAATTTGGAAAAAAATGGTGATAGTAAGCAAATATGTTAAAGGAGCATTTAATAAAATCCTGGAATTAAATTCTAAATAATTAACATGTAAGAGTTGGGGATAGGAGTAGAGACAGACAGGGATAAGAAAGATAAAAACATTTCCAAAACTGTTTAATTGAAGAGGCATAAGGAAAGGTTTACAACAAGATAGTGTAACATTTGGTGAATAACAGAGTTTCATATTATGTATGGAATTCCATTCTGCCAATATGGAAATACATACTTAAATAACTATGAAAATAAGGAGAAATAAAATAAGAATATACTAGTAAAGCTTGTACATTATTCATGATAAATGGGATTTTTTTTTTTTTTGAGACAGAGTCTCACTCTTGTCACCTAGGCTGGAGTACAATAGCACAGTCTCGGTTCACTGTTACCTCTGCCTCCTAGTTTCAAACAATTCTCCTGCCTCAGCCTCCTGAGTAGCTGGGACTATAGGCACCCACGCCCATACGCAGCTAAATTTTTTTTTTGTATTTTTAGTAGAGACTGGGTTTTGCCATGTTGGCCAGGCTGGTCTTGAACTCTTACCTCAGGTGATCCACCTGCCTTGGCCTCCCAAAGTGCTGGGATTACAGGCGTGAACCACCATGCCTGGTCAGAAGTGGGATATTTTAAAATCACAATTAGTGCATCCCAGTATAAAAAAGGAAAAATATAAAACAGGAATTGAAAAACAGAAAAGTAATCATAATATTAATATAGCATGATAAAATACAAGTTATAAGTAGCTTAAACATTCTTATCAAGGAAAACTAATAGAATGAGACAAGAAATAAATAAAAATTAAGAATTTGGCCAAGATTATATATAAGGCAAATGCAAACTAAAAAAACCAACAGAAGCAAACTAATATATAAAATAAATCTTAAGAATCTTTTATTATGAGAAAAGATAAAAGCTACAAAGACAAATTAATAATCAGAAACTATTATGTGACAAAGAACATAGCTTAAATTACATGAGGTAAAAAACACTTTGAAAACAAGGAAAACTTAATAGAAATCATAATCACAACAGCAAACTTTAATACGCTTTTCTCAGCATTTGACAAACATGGCAAAGGTGATGGCTCTTCTGGAAGTCTGTGACTGACCTTCTGGCATCCCATTCCCAGTGTGATCAGAGCCAAGCTGTAAGAGGTGATAACAGTGGTGTTTCCACTGAAGCTAACTAATATGTTTTAATAAACCTCTTTTTTTAGCTTAAATTTTTACAGTGTCTGTCATTTGGAACTACTAGTTTTTCAGGGAAAATATTATGGCAATTTTTATGAAAATGTACATACTCTCTGACTCAGCAGTCAGAGAAATACCATTCTTTATCTAGCAGACTCATAAAAATTAGGAGTTTTAACCCCAGAAGTCTCATTTCTAGAAATCTATCTGACAGTATATAAAATATGTGTACTAATATATGCATTGTGGCATTGTGGCATTGCTTTAAAAAAAAAAAAAAAAAACACATGGAAACATCTTGTATGTTTATCAATGGATGATAATTATATATTCGTATTACGAATTTCTGTACAGCTATTAAAACAATTAAGATAGATCTGAATGTGTTGATTTGGAAAGCTGTCCAGAATGTCTAGTTAAGCAAAAAAAGTGTATTACAGAACAATATACATAATTATTATCTCCTTTTGTTAAATATGTGGAAATGTGTCATCTCAAAGCAAAGGAAAAATATAGAAGGATTTAGGCTATAATCATCATTATAGCAATTAAAGAAGAGAGTGAAAGGAAGATGGCTCATTTTATTTTAACTACTTTTGTAATCTTTGAAATGTTTAAAAGAGCATTTTGTAATTCAATAATTGAAAAATACTGTTGTTGTTGTTGTTGTTAAATAGTAACTACTTAAATTTGGTCTGTAATGTCAGCAGGACATAAGATTTATAACTGTAATTACAGACCATGGAAATTTCACAGACGTTGTTACCACAATGAAAAGTCAAGCTTAAACAGTGAGGAAAGGATATTAATGCTGCTGTCAAAGTGAGCTTATTCATAGAATTTTTGAAAGTTACTATTTTATATATTAAGACTATAGTTTTTGATTGAAGCCAAAATTGCCTAGCTTCCATGGTTGCAAACATTTACACACTTGGGTCTAAGAACTCTATGGTAAAATAGATATTTTCAGGGCTTCCTAGAAATAAAAACAAGTGGTGATTTTCCCAAA